CCAGTCCGGAGCACCCTCCTGCACCAAAACCCCGCCCCCGCGCCCACCCCCCCAGCCGGAGCCCTCCCCTCCCATCACACCCCAGCCCCCTGCCCCCGTGGCTCCATGGGAAGGCAGTTACGGTGACCCAGGAGTGCACTGGTCACTGCCTAGGTGAAATCTAACTCCAGCACGCACCACCCGTCTGGGCTGGTAGCCCCGGTTCACAGCCTGCGTGGAGGCAGCACTCCTGGGCGTGAGCCCCCAGACAGCATGACACACCCCTCGCCCCAGGGGGGCCAGCTCCTGTGGCGAAGCCCCCAGGCCCGTCGCTGACTCCAGCCTCCCTCCGGCCAGGCCTACGCTCACCTCCTTGACCACCTGCTCCAGCGAGGACACGGACTCCTTGTGGCTGGCTCCAGACTCCTGGGAGAGGGAGCGAGGCCAGTTCAGACAGGAGAGCTCCCCCGCTCCCCTAATGGCCCCCACCCCACCCAAGCACAGTCCCCTCCCCCAGAGCTGGCACAGAGATCAACAGCCCTGCCTTGGTCCCCTTTGTTATTCCACATTCCCACCCATAAGCCAGCCAGGCCAGACCCACCCAGGTGGCTGCCACCCCCCCCGTAACGCATCAGGCTCTGCAGGCTGAGCATCCCCCGACAGGGGACGTACCTACCATCTCCCCGGTGCAGGGAGACCTGGGAAAGGCACCTGCCAGGGACAGGACTCAGAAACCAGCTCCGACATACCTCCTCCTGGTCAGCTTCCTGGTACCGCTAGGAGCAAGGGGACAGGGTTAGCACAGCCAGGGCGGGGAACATGAGCATTCACCGCCCCTACGCACAGGGCCCAGGGCACAATGCCATGTGGACCAACAGCAGGCGGCCTCCCTGCTTGGCTAGCTCCCCTTCCAGCCCTCCCACCGGGGACACCGCCCCACTCCCGCTTGAAATCACAGCTAGCCCCCCGAGAGGAGCCGACAGGCCACCGGGCCAGAACTCCAATCCCTGGATGCCTCCTCTACAAGGGACAAGAGCACACGGGAGACCCCTTTGGACCCAGGACCTGGGCAAGTCCAGCTGCCCCGGGAGTTACCCAACCCCCCAGGCCGGGCCAGCTGCGCGCCCCCAGCCGCTCCCAAGGGGGTTTCCCCGCCCAGTGTACCTGTAGCACCCTGCTGTGCACAATGGTGCCGATGGCGCCTGAGCAGAGTCGGGGAGTCAACCCTTTGAAGAGTCCGGCTCTTCCGTCTATCTTCATAATGTGCTTCGCTGCAAAGTGACACGGGCATGAGGGGCGCCTCCCCCGCAGCCCAACCAGCCAGTGTGGAACCACCGCAACCCACTCCGCAGCTGGCGGATTCGGGGGGTTACACCAGACAGCCTGTTTGCAAGGACTTTTCTAGCTCTTGAGGCCGGCTTCCAGCGCTGGGGCTACGGGCCATTGGCGCGACCCCTGCGGGCTGGTCAGAAGGGGGCCTGACCCATGTGATGCCAGGAGCAGAACTCTGCAGCTCAGAAACCCTGGGGAGAGGAGCAAACCCACTCCGCAGCTGGCGGATTCGGGGGGTTACACCAGACAGCCTGTTTGCAAGGACTTTTCTAGCTCTTGAGGCCGGCTTCCAGCGCTGGGGCTACGGGCCATTGGCGCGACCCCTGCGGGCTGGTCAGAAGGGGGCCTGACCCATGTGATGCCAGGAGCAGAACTCTGCAGCTCAGAAACCCTGGGGAGAGGAGCAGGGGGCAGTGCAGGACCTAGTGACAGGCCAGCCAAGTCACGCGTGGGTGCGATGCAGCCGTTCTGCGCGACCAGGGCTCAAGCCCTAGCCCCGCCTGAAATGGCTTTATGACCAACGCCTTTGTTGGGGGGGTTTTTGCTTGCCTGCCGTGGATGGGATACGAGGCTATGATATGTGCTGCATATGGACATACAGGCCTCAGGGAGCAGAGGTCACAGCTGAACGCCCAGCCCCCTGCTCAGGGCATACACTCCAGGTCCACAGGGAATCTGGAGGTGACGTCAGACTCCTGCCCCTGGAACACACCCGTCTTGGTGGCACAGCCCATGGGTGGGATCCTCCCACAAAATCCAGACCGGCTGAGTGGTCTGGTGCCATCCATCAGGCATGGCAGGGGAGACCTCACTGTGTTCACTTCAGTATTGGGGGAAGGGCCCTGCCTACTCTCACCTACAACCCCCACCCTCTGGTGCTTCCCTTCCTGCCCTGTCCACAAATCCACGTGCTTGCCGCAGACAGGGACTCACCGTACGCAAAGAGCCCCGGCAGCTGGTAAACCTGTCGCCCAAATATGTTCCTGCCCAGGGTCGGAGGGAGCGGCTCGTATCCCACCTTCAAAACAAACAGAGCAACTGCAGCAACCTGCCCTGATGATCTTCCAGTGCCTCCTCCGGCCCGGGACCGTCAGTAGCTAATTGAAGGGTTCCAAAGCCAAAGCCGCTATATTTAGCGGTGGGCCCCAGCGCCTCCGCAGTCTGCCAGTGGGCGGGACTCAGCTAGGCCTGGGTTTAACCCCTTGCCAGCGAGGCACAGGGAGGCCGTGAGCCCTGGCGGCTGCCCTTTGGCGTGGCACAGGAGAGCCACAAACACATTCACTTATTCTCCCCTAAACGAAGCCCCTGCACGTTCCTGGCGCTCTCGCTCCTCGGCCTTGGTATCCGCATGCTGCAGGCACAGGATTAGACTCAAAGCCGCCGGGCTCGGGGCCTGCCGGAGAGAACGATCCGGGGCATGACCCTGACAAACATGGGCCGTTCCCGGCTGCTCCTTCCGGTTACCAATGGATTTGGCCTTACAATGATTTCAAAGGGTTTCTCTAGGGGTACCTGCCCGTGCGCCCTGCAGCTCTAGAGCAAGCTGCCTTCATTGTGTCTGCGAGGACAGGGGACTGCCCTGGGCGCTCGAGGGTTAAGTGGTCTCGTGCTGCTGAAATGCTGCCTCTTTCCAGCCAGGAATAGTATGAGAGGACTCCGACACTGGGCTGAGACCTGACAGCCAGCCAGCAACACCAGGTAAAGCAGAAGGGAGCGGTGCGACTGGGTAGCTCCACGGAGCTGAGGATCGGAGGGGAGATTGGCAGGAACCGACAGCCACGTTGGGAATCAGACCGCTGGGGCTCCCCCGAGGCAGAAGCCCACAGACCCAATGATGGTAGGCCTGTTATTGCTGTTTGCCCGCGAGGCTCAGTGCAGCCAGCGAGGGAGACGCAGCCTCCTGGAGCTGGGCCTCACTCTGTGGTGTTACCGACACAGGCTGCAGACCCCGCTGCTGGCTCTCAACCTCTATGGGTGTTACTGCGGCAGTGGAGGCTCTGGGACGCCACGGGACACAGTGGATGAGTGCTGCTTCCTCCATGACTGCTGCTACCGCCACGCCCGGGTCTCTTTGGAGTGCAGGGGAAGAGTGAAGTGGCAGCCCTATGAGTTTGCGTGCCGCCGCCGGGGCACAGAGGGCTGCAGACCCCGCTGCTGGCTCTCAACCTCTATGGGTGTTACTGCGGCAGTGGAGGCTCTGGGACGCCACGGGACACAGTGGATGAGTGCTGCTTCCTCCATGACTGCTGCTACCGCCACGCCCGGGTCTCTTTGGAGTGCAGGGGAAGAGTGAAGTGGCAGCCCTATGAGTTTGCGTGCCGCCGCCGGGGCACAGAGGGCCGAGTGCGGCAGGCAGTTTGCAGAGTGTCTGATGGCAGCCAAGCCCAGGAGGGGGCATTTCTTCTACAACAGGCGAGAGCTGTGTGCTGGCCCCAAGGGCACCTGCCCGGCCACCTTCCCTGAAAGGGCCGAAATCCTTCACTGGAGTAAGACCCCTCCCACCTCCACTCCTAGCACTGGCTCTTGACGCCAGGGCCCTGAGCTGCGCAGGGAGCCACGGATGGAAACTCCTCCCCGGGACTGAGTGCTTCGTGGGGACGTGCAGCGCTCTCCTGGTGCGGGGGCAGCTCTCACCCTCTCGATGAGTAAATGTTTTCAGCAACTGCTGGGCACTCTCACTGTGGTCTGAGCAAACCGGGACATGTGGGGAGAGCAGGACGGAGTCACAGGGGGACATGGAGGGTGGGGGGGGTTGTTATGGGTTCTGCCTGGATACGCGGGGATCAGTGGCTCTAGCGCTGGGCAGGCCCCGTATGGGCAGCAGGGAGGTAGGTGGGTGCAGATAGTTGCTGCAGGGCAAGCAGAGACCTAGGACACTCCCCGTGCTGTGAGCCCGCACCTGGGCAGGGAGCTGCAAAGGGACTTGCCCCGCCCGGGTAGGCCCGGGGTGCTCTGCAGGGCAAGTCCCTGTCCCGCCCCCTGGACTTTGACCCCCGCAGAGGCCAAGAGAGCTGGGGGAGGTGGGTCCTACGCCCGGGCGGGGGCTCACAGGAGATCATTA